GAGCAGATGGCAGGCATTTAGTGGAGATCCAAAGAGCACAAATGAACAGCGAGTTAATTGATTCGCCAGAATTTTCACAGATTCTTCTTCTAAGTTCCAGTCAATCCCTACGACATGGATGCCTATCAAATCTGGAGTGCGAGCTAATTATGCATCAGTCGCAAGGAAACACGAAACACCGTATTCGCCAGACGAGCGATTCATTGCTTTGAAAATCAGAACATAGAAGATCTAAACATTTCCGTTTGCTCGCATATGGCGGAATACTCATTCCAGAGTCGATGAACATTGAACATCGGTATAGAAAAGCGTAAGAGCTGACAGATCGAGGACAAACTGAACAGAGAGTTACCTCAAACGAAGTTACTCCGGCGGCAGATCACGATGAAGACTGACCAGTGAGTAGCGACTCCTTCTCAGCGCCGGGAAGCCCAAGCTTGGACAGAGAACTGTCGAAATTTGAGGTTGGAATGAACCAAAAGCGACGGTGTGAACGAATTGGCTTTTTAAATTTCAGCGATCGCGGGAAGTTTATAGCGCTTCGGTGGACGTTCTTTTTCATGGCATTAGAGAAACGGCAAGTGAATCGGGCCGGCTGATCGCCTGGGCTCAATGCACAGAAGACTCTTCAAAGATAGAGGATCGGCCCACTAGTCGTATATCACACAATATAAAAGTCAATTCACGATGTTAAAATTTGTACAAATTCAAGAAACTAGTTTTTATATCATATTACAAATTGTTTGGTAACAATAATTTGAGTTGTCGGAAAAAAATTAATTATAAATCCTGTATTACTCTTTTTTTTTTTTTGGTAGAAAATGGGACGCTAAAGGGCGCCCCTGCCTGAAACTTAAATTAACCGGGTTTGGGATATACCCAAAACGTCATACAAAATCCAGAAGGTCAGACCCGGGTCTGAGCTCTCAAAAACATGGAAACCTATACTAGCAGAGTGGCCTTTATTAGCAAGGAAATCCGCCACTTTATTTCCTTCTCTATAGATATGGGAAACTCTGACTTCCCAGTTCTGCTGGAGCAGTCTCTGAAATTGCAAAACCAGATTATGATACCTGTGCTCCGTCTGATCCTGCGAGGTAAGGATATTGATAGCCGTAGTGGAGTCCAACTGCAGCAAGACTTTCCTGTATCCGTACTTCCACGCCATCTGCAAGCCCCGGATGGCCGCCATGATCTCGGCTCGGGTAATCGTGCACACTCCCAAGTTCTCCACAAAGGCTCCCATGCATTTCCCCATCCAGTCTCGGATAACGCCCCCACCAGCTGCTTCTGATCCTGGTTGTTTCACTGAGCCGTCGGTGTTAACGCACACCCAATCTTGTGGTGGTGGTCTCCAAGCTAGCTGCTGTTCTGACCTCAAGGGCTTATCAAGCTGAGACGCTGCGTCATTCTCCTGCGCTTGCCTGATAGTCGACGTCCAGCAGCCAATACGTTGCGCCAACACGTGATCTTCTTGTGTCAGGTTGTGGAAGACCTTCTCATTTCTTCTTTTCCAGAGATACCAGGCCGCCACACCGAACAGAAGGCCTTCCTTCTCCCTCTTGAGGTGCTCATCTAGCCAAGCTGCAAAACCGAGACCGTAGGTTAGTGAGGTCTCTTGTATACCCAGCTTGGTCCATACCTGTAGAGAGCTCGGACACTGGCGCAGAATGTGTTCAGCCGTCTCCGGTCCCGCTTTGCATATCGGGCAAGTATCATCCGTCGTCAGTTTCCGCTTCTTGCGCTGCGCATTGGTCATCAGCCTGTCATGGAAAACCAACCACAGAAAATGCTTAATGCGGTTCGGGCCTGCCCACTTCCAGAGGCGCTTCCAGTGCTGGTGGTTGTTCGCTTGCTCCTCCTCCCCCATCCCGTCGCTTAGCCACTCCACAGCCGCAGCATAGGCTGACTGAAGCTTAAACTTTCCGTCTGGCTCCATTCCCCAAGCGGTAATGTCTTCACCCGATCCCGGCACGGGAGGGTCTGTACCTGCAATCAAAGCCAACAGATTCTCAGACACATGTGGATCAATATCCTGCCACTTCCACTCACCTGAATCCGTGACCATCTCCGCAACGGTAGCCTGCCAGTTAATTCCTTCCCCAGTGCTTGTGATCTGCTCACTCAAGATAGTACCCTCAGCAAGCCAAGGATCCGTCCAAAACTGCACATTATGGCCTTCTCGGATGTCCCACACCACCCGCTGCTTAAGAATAGGCCAAGTATCCACAATGCCTTTCCATAGTCGTGAGAAGTTACTCTTCTTCATCACCAAAGTCCCTGCCTCATTGACTTTGAAATACTTGCTCTGCAGGACCCGAATCCATAGCTCCTCTGACCTGTTCAAGAAGGCCCACCCGAGCTTCATAATGTAAGCCAGGTTCAAAGCTCTAGCAGAGCGCATGCCCAGTCCACCAAGCTCCTTTGGTTTACAAATGGTTTCCCATTTGACCAAGTGAGTTTTAGAGACGCCGTCTTCTGCACCCCAGATAAAGGCTCTGACTTTCCTGTCAATGATGTCACAAACCGAGACCGGGAGAACTGCCGTTTGCATGACATAATTCGGAAGGGAATTGAGAACTGAGGTAGCCAAAGTCACTCTCCCTGCCAAGGAAAGACTCCTCGCCTTCCAACCTGAGAGCCGGTGATCAATCTTCTCCAGGATGAATTTATAGGTATCCTTGGTGACTCTGCCGTGGATGACCGGAACACCCAGATAGCGCCCCAGGTTGCTGGTTTGCTTGATCCCCAACATGTCGCTGATCCTTTTCTTCAGGTTTTCCTTGGTGTTTTTTGAGAAGAAGACACAAGACTTGTCCTTGCTAACTTGCTCCCCTGATGCCTCACAAAACCGGTTCAGGCAGCTTAGGATCTCTTCTCCTTGCTTCGGGTCAGCCTCCGCGAATAAGACCAAATCATCTGCAAAAAATAAATGAGTCAGTGCAGGGCCGCCCTTTGACAGCGTAATCGGTCTCCAGGCTTTCCTCACAACAGAGTCCTTGATACAGTGATTCAGTCTTTCAATACATAAGGTAAAAAGATAAGGGGAGAGAGGACATCCCTGCCGAAGACCCCTCGTCGGTTGGAACGGTTCGGTACACCCACCGTTCCAGAGAACCTGGAAACGGACAGTTGTCACGCATGCCATGACCAGTCTAACAAAATCCTCGGGTAGACCAGCCGCCTGCAGGGTGGACTCCAAGAACTTCCAATTTATCCTGTCATATGCTTTAGCCAAGTCGATTTTCAAAATCATTTGCCCCCTGGCTCCCGTTCTAAGCGACATGGTATGGACCACTTCCTGAAGAATGATGATGTTGTCTGTGATATGTCTCCTAGGAACAAAGCTTGACTGGCTCGGGTCGATCAGCTGAGGCATGAAATTTTTGAGCCTGTTCGCCAAGCACTTGGCCACGACCTTGTAGCTTACATTGCAGAGTCCGATGGGCCTGAACTGTGCTACTTGCTTCGGAGAATCCACCTTGGGCAATAGAACCAGGAGGGTTTCATTGCATCTCTCAATCCGCTCCGGATTCCTGAAACAAGCAACAATGTGATCATGGAAATCAACTCCCACCCTGTCCCAACATTTCTGGTAGAAAGTAGCATGAAAGCCATCCTTCCCTGGTGCCTTTAGCCCTCCCATCTCCTTGATTATATGGTACGTCTCCTCGGGAAGTGGACTATCAGCAAGGTGCGACGTCATGGTCCCGGTCACTCTATTGAACAGAGCTGGGATATCTTGCTGCCCCATTCCATCCTCCGAGTACAACCGGATATAGAACTCCCTGGCCATCGCCTTCAGCAACTCCGGGTCCTCGATCCAAGTCCCATCATCCCGCTGCAATTTGGTTATTCTATTCTTCCGCCTTCTCGTGAGAGCCACAGTATGGAAGTAGCGAGTGTTCCTGTCCCCGTTCACAATTTGGTTAGCCCTGGCCTTCTGGAGCCATAGGAGCTCTTCCTGCCATAAAGTCTGCTCAAGCTCCTCCCGAACCTTCTCTTCCCGTTTGAGGGACATTTCACTCGCTGCCGTCTCGTTCCGAACCTCCAGGCGGGCTAGCTGCTTGGACAGTTTAGCTTTCCTCCAAAATATGTTCCCAAACACCTCTTTGTTCCACCGAGTGAGGTGTGTTTGAAGATCCTGCAAAGACACCAAACAGTCCCTTCCTCGGTTCCACGAGGCCTCAAGCGTAGAATGAAAATCTTTATGAGCTAACCATGGCACTAGAAACCGGAAAGGTCTTACCTGCCTAGGGGGAATGTGGTTATTGTTACTGCAGACGAGGATTGGTCTATGATCTGAACGGAGCCTGGGCAGGTTCGTTGAAACAGTATCTGGGAAAAGCCTGATCCATTCCTGATTACAAAGAGCTCGGTCAAGGCGTTGGGATAGCCGACCATTACTCCAGGTAAATTTAGGTCCAGTGAATCCGACATCAATAAGCCCACAATCACGAATGCACGCATTGAAACTGGCCGTCTTGTTTGGATTGTAGGCTGCACCACCTTTGCGCTCCGAGGGACACGTGATGGAGTTAAAGTCCCCAGCTAAGAGCCACGGCCTCTCTATATGCTGCTCCATTCTACGAATAGCCGCCCAAAGGGGTTGTCTGTCGTGGTCATTGGGCTTGGCATAGATCGCAGTCAGGAAAACTGGAGCACTGTTATGCACTGTACACAAAAGGTGAAGAAATTGTGAGTCACGATCCAATTCAGTAATCGTCAGGTGAGTATCATTCCAAAGCACCCAAATACCACCAGAAAAGCCAATAGCATCAACCACAAAATGTTTATCAAACCCCATCGTCTTAATAACATCTTCAGCATCCTTACCACTGATCCGTGGCTCGACAATAAAGACAATATTAGGTCTATGGGTAAACATATACTCCTTAAAAGTAGCAAGAAACTTGGGGTGTTTTGCCCCCCGGCAATTCCAACTGAAAATATTAATCATAAGGAAAATTAAAACGAGTAAAGAGAAAGAAAAGTGCAAGTCAGAGGCTAGCAGGTGAGCGGTCGGCTGCAGCTGGGTCCCCTCGGCTCATCAATTCGTTGCTCTCGTTATCTACTGTGGCCGCCGGCGATGGAGTTGGCTCTTTCGTCGGGACCGCCAAGTTCTCGTTCGCCATCCTGCTCCAAGCTTCAATCTCCTGAAGGGTTATCGCGACCAATTTATCGCGCGATTTATTCTTCTTTTCTTTCTTCGGGGACCATATTTGGAGGGCTTTGTTGGATTGTGTCATCAAGACTCCCTTCTTCCCTGTTGAAATGTTCTTCTTGTTTTGGTTTTTGATACGCAGGCTTGAGAGGGGAATGTCTACGTTCGCTTGGCAGTGGGAGGGGGGTTCAGAGTACTGAACATCAAACACAGAAATGGCCTCCCCTTTTGGCCCTAGAACTGTACGAGCATTAATTCCCTCCAAGCTCGGCCCAAAAGTGTTCGTCGAGCCCGAGCTCTTGCCTACGATGGACGCCGTAGAGACCGCTGGGCCTTCTTTTTTCTGTGATGTGAGTTGCGAGGGTGGGCTCGGGCCCAGCAAACCTTTCTCTTTCGGCTGCTGCCCTAACGCGATCGGCTGCTGCTTTCCGGAGGTTGATGGAGATTTCGACGAACTGCTCGGAGGGTTCTTCTCATCCTTGTTTCCTTTCTTATCACCTTCCCCAATATTTGTTCCCGCCGAGGCCATTCCATTTTGTTTGCCTTTAGTTGTTTTGTCCGCATTCTTGGAGGAGGTCTCGCCTATATGCTGCCCGTTGGACTTTCCTTTTCCTACAATTGCCTTTGCCAAATCAGGTGCCGAGCTGGTACGGCCGATTTCCTTTTGTGGTTGATTCTTCTTTCCGGTTTTGGAACCCTGAATGACCGCCTGGTTTGCCGCCTGTGTGGGCGTTTGTTTCCTTTCCGGTTTCCGACTCTTTCGCGTGACCTGCATCCAGGGACCAAACCCGGCTGGTGCCTCTGTCTCCGACGGTGGCTCCGGTGAAGAAGGAGGTAGCAATTCAGCGCAGGGTGCCACCGGAACGACAGGTCGGTTGAGCGTAGGGCAAGAGGTTTCAGAGTGCCCCACGATGCCACATTGGAAACACGCGTTGGGAAGATTCTCATAGACAACCTTCTGCCAGAAACCATCGAGACGAATCCGAGGCCGAAGGGGCTTCGACATGTCCAATTCAATTGCTATACGCGCAAACTTGCCTCTTTGCCCTTGTTCGGTGTGGTAGTCTAGCTTAATCGTGCGCCCGATCAGATTCCCGAGGGCGAACAATACCTCTCTATGGTAAAAATGAACAGGAAGCCCGGGAAATCGTACCCAGGCCGTTACCTTCCTTGGAATGGCATCACCGATCCGGAATGATGGAGACCATTGATAGACAATTAAGTAGTGATCGAGGATGATCCATGGCCCCCCGGTGAGCGCTTTCAGATAGTCTTGGTCATTATCGAAAGTTGCCAGAAAGGCGTCCTCGTCTAGATCCATGATATCGAGTTTCCCGACGGGTCTCCACATCCATCTCAGTTGAGAGCAGAGGTAGGAAAAAGAGACTTTCCGGCCGAGTAGACGAACAACGAGCGTTTTCTTCCAAGGTGCGCAGAGTCGTGACTTGAGGGTATCAGACACTATAAGCTCCGGCTCCCCGTTGAAAGAACTTGGGACCAGGTCGCTTTCCCCGACAAAAGTCCAGGGAACAATCGGCTGTGCTGTCGCCGAGCTTTCCCCTGCCAAGGCTGCTTTGTATGAAGTCGCCGGTTTTGCTGTCGATTGAGCTGTCACGTCTTTTCCGTCGCTACTGTCTTGCTGTGGAAGGGAGGCTTCCGACATATCCACCTCCGGTGGACGGTCGGTAGGTGGCAGTAAGGGCGCCGGAGCAGGAAGCGTGGTGTTTTCAGTTGAGAGCATTCTCTCAGATAGCTACCAAGAATGAAATTGTGTTAAAACCAAAGCAATTAATGATAAAAGCTTAATTGCACTGAAAAGGAAATTTATTGATTGTTTCTCAAAAAATTTAAAAATATTGAAACCATTCAATTTAACTAATCTTGTTTTTGGTTCTTATATTCATAATTTATGTCATTTGTACCAATGATATGTCTGGGAAGAGCAAACGTTTCATGAGTTAATACGATATTGTAAAAGAGAAGTCGAGAGCCTTTTCCCAAATAGCAGGAGCTAAATTTTCAGCCCTCAAGGCTTAGATGGCCTCACCTAAAACCATCACCAACGATGTTACTTGATTTTCTTCTTTTTTCTTCATTCTTGAGTGTGAGAGCCCTGCCACATGGCTTGCGGGAGGAAGCAATTGGAGATTATTAAAACCACCAAACTGGATGGCGGGAATTCAATTTCCTTCCCCTCTCTTTGCACTATTTAAGGATAACGAATTCTCCATCTTTTGCATCCCATCTCATTCCATTCCTCTTCCTTTTGTTTTGTTTTGTTGCTAGCTTATGAGTTATGAGCTATTAATTTTCTGCGGGTTTTGGTTGTGTAACGTTTTCACAACCATGGGTAAATAGGAGATTTTCTTGTGGGCGAAATAGTAAGGTTGTTTGGAAAACATCATGTGTTCTATTTCCTTGTATCTCGAAAATCTCTATAACCTACTGTTGTTATAATGAAAAAAATACTCTGGAGCTGCTTTTCTTGTGGGCTGGCCCTAAATTAAGGGTATACCATGTAAATCACCGTGTTATTTACTTACTATCTGTGTTTGTTGTTATTTTTATAGTACTCATAGTATATTGCATTATTAAATTACGAGAGTAAACTCGTCTCGGGAGGTTGACTGAATAAGCTTTGGAGGCTCTACTACCAGTTCTAACCTACCTGGGAAATATATACCAGCGTGCGATTTTTTTTTTTGTGCAATATATTTATTTCTATTCTCGAACGGTGCGCCTGGTAGTAGAGACACGTTCGATGGAGGCAAGACCAAGCAAGATGGTTAGTTTTAATGGCTCTAACTATCACATATGGAGAAACAAGATGAAGGATCTCATGTTCGTGACGAAGTTATGTTTGTCTGTGTTTAGGGAAACTAAACCTGATAACAAAACGGAGTGGGATTCCGAGCATGAGCAAGTATGCAGCCATATTTGATAGTTAGTCAAAGGCATTGTGTACAAACACATTAGTAGAGAGAGCCATGCTATAATGACGTGGAACAAACTAGAGGGGCTTTATGCATCAAATTTCGGCAATCTGACCAAGTTGGTCCATATGAAATATAAGGAGGGCACATCCTTGGCGGATCACTTGAACAAAATTCAAGGGATCATTGATCAGGTGTCTGACATGGGAATATTGAAGATGAGGTGATCGCTCTATTGCTTATGGCTTCCCTTCCAGAATCGTGGGAGACGCTGAAGATTTCACTTACCAACTTTGTGAAGAATGGAGTTGTCATCATGGAAGTTGTCAATATTGGAATCTGGAATGAAGAGATGCTGAAAAGATCACCAGGTGGATCCACATCATCTTCATAGTAAGAAATTCTAGTGGTGGATTCCAAGAGCAGAGAAAGAAGTGAAATCAGAGGCTCGAATCAAAGAGGCAATAGCCGAGGGAATTCAACAAGTTTGCCAATGTTCTTTGTTATCCCTACAAGGAGAAGAGAAGTCTGCTTGGAGACGATGAATGGTACAAAGTTGATGTTGAAGGATGTCAGACATATTTCATAAATACATTTGAATCTCATCACGATAGACAAGTCGAATGATGAAGGGTACTTCAACACCTTCCACAATGTACAGTGGAAACTCACAAGAGGCTCCTTGGTGTAAGCAATGAGCAAAAAGTTGTATGTGATAGAGATTTCCCAAAATTTGTCAACTCAGCGGATAGTGGTGACACAATTGAGTTGTGGCAAAAATGACTTGGTTACATGAGTGAGAAATACATGATTAAGTTATCCCAGACGAAAGTCATATCTAGACTACACCATGTTCATTTGAAGAAGTGTGTTGATTACAAACACTTGTGTGTGTTTGGTTGCAAGGACTTTGTCCATATTCCAACGGATGAAAGGTGAAAGTTGGATGTCAAGACTCTACCGTGCGTATTCATTGCCTATGATCAAGACGATTTTGGTTATCGATTCTATGATAAAATCTAAAAGAAGCTCATTAGAAGTTCCTAGTACTATCCAGCCAAGCCTTGAGCTAGTTCCACCAACACTGGTGTCTACTAAAGTTGGAGATGAAGCACAACATGATCAATCGGAGATAGTTGAACCATATGCTCTTGAAGAGGTTCAACCAGAAGATGTTGATGACAAAGGCCAACCACTAGTTATAGAGGTTTCTTTTGTTTGAATGATGAGATTTGGTAAACTTATACGAGCATTGACCATATTATCCTGGCACCAAGTACGTGTCACTTATTGATGGGGGAGAAATAGAGAGCTTCACAGAAGCTATCTTTATAACGACAAGCAGAAGTGGATAGAAGCCATGCAATTCGAGATGGATTCCTTGCACGAGAACAAAACATTTGAGATGGTGAAGTTTCCAAAAGGCAAGAGAGCTTTGAAGAACAAGTAGGTGTTCAAGATCAAGCATTATTAACACAACCGTTAACCACGTTTCAAAGAAGGACTAGTCGTGAAAGGCTTAAGTCAAAGAAAAGGCATTGACTTTGAAGAGATATTTTCACATGTGGTGAAAATGACATCCACTCATACTATGTTGGGAATAGCATCAAGCCGTAACTTGGAGGTTGATGAAATGGATGTTGGGATTGTCTTCCTTCATGGTGACTTTGTGGAAGAAATTTACATGGAGCAACTAGAAGGCATCAAGAAGGACAAGAAGGAGGATTTTGTATGCATGATCAGAAATAACTTGCATGGATTGAATTAGGCACCAAGGCAGTGGTACAAGAAGTTTGAGTCTGTTATGTGGGAGCAAGGCTACTAGAAGACTACTTCAGACTAGCGCATTCATGAAGAAATTACCTAATGTAGATTTCATCATATTACTGCTCTATGTTGATGATATGCTGATTGTTGGGCGGAATTTTTCCAGGATCAACGACTTGAAGAAGGGGTTAAGCATTTTTTTCCATGAAAGACTTGGGACCAACAAATCAGATTCTTGGCGTGAGGATCATTCGAGATCGAGTTGCCAAGAACATATGGTTGTCCCAAGAGAAGGGCATTGAGAAAGTACTTTAACGGTTTAACATCGATAACGTTAAGCCGGTTAGTTGTCCTCTTGCTAACCACTTTACGTTAAAATCCAAACAAAGCCCTTCTATTGACAAAGAGAAGGCGAAAATGGATAAAACTTAATATTCTTCAGTAGTGGGAAGTCTGATATAGCCATGATGTGTACAACACCAGATATTGCTATGGAGTAGCAGTTGTCAGTCAGTTTCTTTCTAAACCAGGAAAGGAACAATGGGAAGCTGTGAAGAGGAAACTCAGATACCTTTGGAATAGCTCCAAAACGAGTATATGTTTTGGAGATGAAAGACATGTCCTTGTTGGCTATACATATGCTGGCAAGCCAGGTAACATTGATTCGAGGAGGTCCACTTCTGGGTACCTGATTACCTTATCAGGGGAACTATCATGTCAGTCAAGGATACAAAAGTGTGTAGCACTTTCCACATCAGTAGTGGAGTATATATAGTAACAAAAGCATGCAAGGAGATGTTATGGATGAAGAAGTTGTTGAAATAACTTGAATTCCAATAGGAACAACGACGCGGGGGATAATTGTAAGGGCTTGACCATATGGCTTGATGGACGAAGCAACTAGCAGTGATTAAAGCCACCGAAATGGCTGGCGGGAATTTAATTTCCTTCCCCTCACTTTGTTTTACAAAAGGAGAACGAATTATCCATCTTCTACATCCCATCCCATCCCATCTCATTCCATTCCTCTTCCTTATTTGCTTTGTTCTATTGCTAGCTTCTGGGCTATTTCTTTTTTGTGGATTTTGGTTGTAGAACATTTCAAAAACCGCGAATATAGGATATTTTCTTGTGTGCGAAATAGTGAGGTTGTTTGGCAAATACCATGTGTTCTATTACCTTGTATCTTGAAAATATCTATAATCTACTGTTGTTATAGTGAAGAAATACTCGATAGATGTTCTCGGGGACTAACCCTAAATCAAGGGTATACCATGTAAATTGTCGGTGTTATTTACTTACTATCTATTCTTGTTTATTTTGAGAATAATCATAGTATATTGCATTATTAAATTATTCTTAGGAGATTGGTTGAATAAGTTATGGATGCTATGTCATTAGTTCCAACCTACCTAGGAAATATTTACCGGCGTGTGATTTTTTAGTGCAATATATTTATTTCTATTCTTGCAGGACGTGCCCAACAATGAGTGATTTGGCTCAGATAGCTCCCAATCCATCTCCGAAATCCTTGAATTCGCTCCCAATTGCAACTGAAGGCGAGCCTAGCGAATCCTTGGGCTAAGTTTTAAGTCATATTAGAGGCCAACCACTTGGTGAATGTGAAGCCCAAAATGGTGTGTGGGGGGGGGGGATCTGGATGCCAAAGGGACACGTGAGGAGGGAGCAATGCGTTGGAAACACTAATTAGCTGGCCAGTTCCTTCAACAAGCTCCGCCACTTTTCGTTTTTGCGCCGGTGGGCAAATTGTATCCAGAGTCGCTATGGACTTGTGAGAGTGCCTCTACTATTTGATCAATTATTGCTCATTCAATTACCTTTTTAGGTGACTTGTGACTAGGCGATGGTGATGCATTCATGCATCCGGTGCTAGCGCTATTATTATTATTATTATTATTATTTAGAGTATTCTGGGTTTATTTAAGATTATTAGTTCTTGTTAAGGAAGTTGCTTCTTAGGAGATGGGTTAGGATTAGTTTACCTTGTTCAATAGGAAAATGATTTATGCGATTTCTCCTATAAATATATATACTTTGTCTCTACGTTTAGTTATCGAAGAAAAATAAATCAGTATTTGATTCGAGCGCATTTATACATGTTTTACCCCCTTAATATCTTGATTGTTTAGCTTGGTAATCAATGTTCCTCGACCTGTTTTATGCTAGGTTGTGCTTTTTTGCCACATTTCAGGTCCTAGTACGTGTGAAAAGGTCGGAGGCGAGTTTCGGGACGAATGGAGGTAAGAATGGCAAGTAATAAAGAAAACATGATCAACACGGTCTGGAACAAGGCTCCTCACAACTAGCCTAGGCACGACAGCGTTTCAGGCCAAAGCTGATTCTTGCCATTCAGTGAACACGGCCTCAACACAGTCGTATTGTTAGCCCATGTCAGATGCTGAGTTCTAAGAGCCTTCTTGTATCTCGAGGGCATATGCAAGGATCACGGTCTCCCAGACCGCGATAACCAACAAAGTGGCCACGACATCGACTGAAAACGGTACAGAGTGACAAAGGCTTAAGAACACGGCCTGGACACACCCGTATTCTCAGGCCGTGTTAGGCCTGCCTCGACTTACCTCAGTAGAAGATCAAAACAGAACACTTCGGGAAGTGAACACAGCCAGCTTACACGGCCCGTGTTCGGGACCGTGTTCGAGCTGATCCTGTAGAGTATAAATTTTGCAGTTGTGGGAAAAAAAGGGAGGAGTTGGTTTTTTGGGGCAGAGCTTGGTTTTTCCTTTAGGGTTCTTACCCAAAACACCAAAGATGCATTTATAGAGTGAGAGAGGGATCTTGAGTGATCTTGGAGTTTAATTGAAGGCATTGATCAAGTTTGGAGTCAAGGAATCAAGCATAAGGATGAAGAATGAAGATCTTATGCTCCAATTTGTAATCTCTCTCCTCTCTATGATTTAGCTCTCTTCTCTTAGGTTGATGGGTTTAGTTTTTGATTTGAAGTTTATGTATGTGACAAATCCTATATTTGATTGTTCATATTATTTAGTTGATGGATGTTTATCATGAATTGCATGCGTTTGACGTGTCAATTGAGCTTTTAACTTAGAAGGGAGAAAATCCCCTTTTGACCCATTCTTGGCAATTAGGGTCACTACTCATTATATATCATTCAGGGTTAATCACCAAGGGAGTCAATTCGATCAATCTCTTAACAACATATGTTTTCCCTAGGTTGAATAGAGCACTACCAATTTATCGCTACGCTGAAGCAGGTCAATCCCCGAGGGAGTAGATCTCCTAACAATAGAGGTATTGAGTCGATCTAGCTAGGATGGTACGCAACATCGGTCGAAATGATGAAACTAGGGGGATTCAAACTAAGAGAGCTCACAACTTATAATTAGCTTGGGTAGTGATTAGCTTAGTTTAGTTAGATTAGTTTCTTAATTATTATTCTAGGTTGGCTAGATAACAAAACTTAGGTCGAAGTAAGGTACATCTAGAGACCTGTGGTTCGATATTTTCATTACTGCCTTACCCTATGCTACACTCGGGTGTTGGTCAAGCTTGGCCTTCGATTGAGAAGTTGTAGTTAGAGCGAGCCAGTATTTTCAGTTTATCTTAGTAGTAGTTGTTAAGAAATTTCCGATGCATGAATCTATCAAGTGTCAATTGGTATCAGAGCCTGGTTTTGTCATAAACTATGAAGGATACTGTCGAAGAGTGTGGGTATGAGCGGACGACCTCGACAGACGGTTGCACAGTAGGTCTTTAAGCTAAGTATTAGGAATGGGCTCGGGAGGGGGTATTTAAGCCATCGACGACGCTGAGCTTGCCTCTATAATGTCAGCTTCCGACGCCTCTGTTGATCGGAGACCGCCGCTTTCTTGAACGGACGTCGAAAATCGAGTGATGCCATCCCCCAATAATATATAGTACAGTTTTGTGTACTTTTCTCCATTTCAAATTTCCTGCAACCAGAGTGAAAGTAGGAAGGACATTTTTGTCTTTACAATTAATTATTTATCTCACATAAAAAATATCAACATCAGGATTTGAATCCGGGTCTTTTCAAACAAAAACAACAATCACAACCATTTACACTGAACAAATTTGTTATGTCTTTTTTAATACAAAATATACATGAAGTTCAACTCTCTGAAAATCGCAGGACTTTCCATCATGATTAGTAAACCCACTAAGTATACCGTATGTATTTTTATTGTGCTTGATACTTCAATTTTCATAGTAGAGTTTCATGTAATTTTTTCAATTTTAAAATTCTTTCTCTCTCCTTAATTTTTGTTAAAGGTAAATTGGTAATTGGCTAACATGTAAAAAACTAATTTTGTCACAACGGTCTACGTGTTGTGTCCTAGCATTTTTCAATTTAAATTTTGTGGTTTTTATCTTTGTTCTTATCTCTTTCTAACTTCCTCGAAAATTCCCTCCATCGTACAATAGTTTGCGCCCCTTTCACTTCCCAGTACAAGGCCGCCTTTGAAAATCAATCATCTGATATCTCTTGTCACGTCGGTTTTATGGTTGGGGATTTAAGTTGGGCAAGTAAAATAGTTTAATAAATAATGGAGTTGTAGAGGGAGGATTAGAAATTGAATTTTTGGTTGAAACATATGTCTCTGGAGATAAAAAAAAATTTGGTTGTACAACGAAGAGTGGTGGCTATTGGATCTTTATGTTTATGGTTTTTACATCTATCACAACCTATTTCTATCTTACAACGAGGAATCATTGATTAATTTATTGAAGTAGGTCGATTTTTTATTCAACCTACTGGAACTGATAGACAATGAGTGTATGATTTTGTGCCTTATTACTTTGATTGAGTCTATTAGTATGTTGGAGATACCTCTGATTTTGTCATTTGCTCTCAAGTTTTTATGGTCACCTCTTAGCTGAGTTGTTAGTATATAGTTGACTTGAATCAACAACTCTCTATTTCTTTTTGATTAGTGACATATTGTTCATAAAAGGAGCACATTAAACCCTTATGTAGGATTGTGAGGTTTAAGATTTAGTTTCAAACTATCTATGGGTCATGTGGAATTTCATTGCGCTTTTATACCCTCTTTCTTGACAATCAACTAACCAATAGCATTTTAACGAGGACTTAATTATTATTATGAAAATGGAATTAATGATACATTTTATATTTTATATTCTTAAATGATGATGGTGTTTCTCCGAATGTTAGACCTATATATTCATTCTTTATGTATCATCTTGATCGAAGGATTGTCAATAAAATTAAACCGGTTGATTGGCTTAAACGTAACATAAGAATATAAATAATCAAATATGAACATTCCGGCCAATGGGCCGGGTTATAAGCTAGTTTTGATATATAACCGAGTGGATCGGAGATTCCAGCTTTGGAACCGATGGCGATTTATAGCCGACTCGGGAAATGAAACGATGCCGTGGGTATGAGAAAGTTGGACTAACGAAACGACGGCGTTTCATGGTGAAAAACACACCTGTCGTTGGAAATCTTGGCCGGTGAACGTTGGAGCAACTAACAACCACCAGTCCACACACAAACAGCTGATCTGAGATGAAGAATAGGCGGAGCTCTCGATGCTAAGCCCTTTGGAGAAATAACTAAAACCCCCCTTTTCCTTCTCGCTAACGATGAAGCAGGAGAAGAAACGAGAGCGGCCATTGTTAGCTACGAACCCGACGATAGCCGCGAGATTTGATGAGTCTCCGCTGGTAGTTTCCGAGCTCCGGGCTGACAGACATTCTATTCTTTTGCTGCTACTGTTGCATCTGGTTCTCCAAGGTACGGCATTTTCTGGCATTTCACAAGTGATCGGCGATTTAAAACCAATTTGGGTTCTTGTTGTGGGATATGGAGGTTCCATTATTGCGCTACCACTGCCTTTCTCGGGATCAAATTAGGAGCAACTGTGGTTTCCCTTCCTCCTCAGATCATAGATCTCTGTTTCCTGGGTATCGTTCCTCAATCTACGAGGGCATCTGGAGGAAACCATTTGGTAGATTCCGGTGTGCTTCTTCACTAAATCCGGGACTAAAACCTCGTCCTATCCCAATTCCTACCAGAATCGATAATGATGTGAATGAAATTGTCGAATTTGACGATGCCCGGATGAAAAAACCGAGTGCTTCACTCTGTAGTCAGATAGAGAAGTTAGTCCTGTGCGGAAGGTATAGACAAGCGCTTGATTTGTTTGAGATATTTGAGCTTGAAGGTGGGTTTGATGTCGATGGGGATACATATGATGCGCTAATCAGAGCTTGTATAGGGTTAAGATCTGTTCGAGGAGTCAAGAGGATATACCATTACATGAAATCTAATGGGTTTGAACCTGATCTCTACATGAGAAACAGAGTGCTGCTCATGCATATAAAAAGTGGCCTGATGGAGGAAGCACGCCTTTTATTTGATGAAATGCCAGAAAAGAATCTAGTTTCATGGACTACAATCATGGGTGGGCTTCTAGATATTGGAGAGTACTTGGAGGCGTTTAGATTATTCCTGCTTATGTGGGAAGATTTTTCCGAAGGTGATCCACGCTTGTTTTCCACAACGATCAGAGCTTGCACCGGACTTGGATCAGTCTCTATCGGGAAGCAATTACATGCCTGTATGCTGAAAATGGGAGCGGTGCACAACATATTCATTTCTTGTTCGCTTATCGATATGTATAGCAAGTGTGGTGCTATAGAAGATGCTCGTTTTATTTTTGAGGATATGCCAGAGAAAACAACTGTAGGATGGAATACAATGATTACTGGGTATGCCCTTCATGGTTACAGTGAAGAAGCTGTGGACATGTTCTTCCAAATGAGTGATTCTGGTGTTAAAATGGATCACTTCACGATTTCACTAATCGTGAGGGTATGTGCAAGGTTGGCTTCTTTGGATTATGCTAAGCAAGCACACGCTGCTTTATACCGACAGAACTTTGGATCAGATATGGTGGCAAATACAACACTTGTAGACTTGTATAGCAAATGGGGGAGAATAGAATATGCTCGGCATGTTTTCGAGCAGATGCCTTGTAAGAATGTGCTTTCCTGGAATGCGCTGATCTCCGGATACAGTAACCGCGGTCAAGGCAGTGAAGCAATTGAGTTGTTCGACCGAATGATCCACGAAAAAATGAGGCCGACTCACATTACATTTCATGCTGTACTATCTGCTTGTTGCTATTCTGATTTATCAGTACAAGGGTGGGAAATATTTAAATCAATGGAGACTGATCATGGGATCAAGCCACGGGCAATGCACTATGCAATCATGATCGAACTACTGGGTAGAGACGGGTTGATTGATGAAGCTTTTGCTTTGCTCAGAGGAGCTCCCTTCAACCCCACAGTAAACATGTGGGCTGCACTTGTAACAGCTTGTCGAATGGAGGAAAATTTGGAGCTTGGAAGATATGCAGCTGAGAAGCTCTATGGAATGGAACCGGAAAAGTTGAACAATTACATTGTTCTTCTCAACATATATAAGAGTTCTTCTGGCAGCTCAAAGGAAGCAGCTGCTGCAATCCTCAACACCATAAGAAGAAAGGGTATGAATATTCTTCCAGCTTGTAGTTGGATTGAAGTAGGAAGACGGGTGCATGTTCTCCACTTTGGAGATAAGTCTCATCCACAAAGCAAGGAGGTTCATGAGAAGGTGGATGAGCTGATCAAGCAGATATCCAAACATGGGTATGCTCCTGGGGAGAAAACGGTGCTTCCGGATGTAGATGAAATAGACCAGAAGAAGAAACTGGGGTATCATAGTGAGATGTTGGCTGTGGGTTTAGGGGTGATGAGCAGTCCTTGGTGGAAGCAGTTGCAGGTGGTTCAGGGTCACAGGATCTGTGGTGACTGTCATGAAGCAATCAAGTTGATATCAATGTTGAAGAGGAGGGAAATTATAGTCAGAGATGCCAGTAGATTCCATCATTTCAGTGACGGTCATTGTTCCTGTGGGGATTACTGGTGAAAGAGCTTAATTTTTCTGTTTGTTGTTACCTTTGTTGGCTGATTCTTTCTTGTAGTAGTTGCATAATTAATTACAGCCGAAAATAGAATAGTATACTTAACAAAAGCACTATTAGAAAATGTTTTCTCTGAATTCTTAACACATTGCTATGCTAATAAAGAACCATAATGCTTTCTATCATTGTGTGTTTATCCGAAGATCTCTTGTATGCTTGTGAATTCCCAGCCCAGAAGGTACCTCTGATGTTGTGTTAAATGGAGATTAATTATGCAATATCTATAGCTGTATCCTACTACCTTCACTTGGCTTTATTGGTGGTTGCTTGAAATTGAGATTTGAGATACTAGGTTACTTTCTGTGGGATGTTTCCTGTTATGCAATATCTATAGCTGTATCCTACTACCTTCACTTGGCTTTATTGGTGGTTGCTTGAAATTAAGATGCTAGCTATTTGTGTTAGATGTGTACTTATCCATGGTAATGTAAGTTATAGCCTTGTTCTGGTCTAGTATTTCTACGGTTACTAAAAACAAAGAGCTGCAAAAATATTCAATCTTTTTCTCGTAGAGGACATTTTGCTGCAGATGCAGATTTCTGTTGAAGATTTGGAAGTACCACTGAGAAATCAAGCAGATGTTGTGGGCTCACTTACTGCTGCAGCTGATCAGAGCGAACTTGGAAGAATCAGTGGAATACATCCTCCAAGCTCTATAGCAGAGTTGGATAACCAGTCTGACGCCATGCATCCTCAAATCCTCTCCACAACGTGCTTCGACAGCAGAACTGATCGGTCCTCCACAATCCTGTCTGTACAACAGTTGCTTTTCCCCCCTTTACCCCCTCTTTGGTTCGATTTAACTATGGCTTTACGATCCCCTTCCCTATCGGAGGTGGGTTTACGAGACTTATGCAGAGACGAAATCCATAACCTGTTTGCAGAGTAAGTCTCGGAGTCAGACCCCACAAGTTTCAGAAACAATGGAGCCGGAGCGAAACCGCTAACCTTCTGTGGTGCGGTCGCAGTTGGCTTATATGGCTCAATTTCGGTTGTGGTTAACCACAAATTTTGGTGTGGTTAACCACAACCACACCAATGGCCAGCCTTATGACTCAACAAGTTTCAGGAACAAGGGAGGGAAGAGGTGGCAAAAGAATGTATGTTAAGATCCATTGAAGATCGTTGCAATTACCAAACAGAGTAAAAAACAAACGAAAAATGATTGTGAAAGGAAGGGGGGACAGTTTGCTTTCCTACTTTATCGTATGTACTGTGGATATATCAATGTCAGTCTTCTTGATGTAGAAAGCTTTCTTTCTGCTCAATTATTGTTTTACCGAGCAATCATCATCATTCATCGATTAATCTGTGAGTTGGTGATTTCATCATCTACAACGAGGAAAAGTAACAATTGACCTTTCGGTTGTCTTCTGTCTTTGTCATGACATCAGCTATCTCCCTCAGCAATCCACCCCTTAGCCTGATCGCTTGAATGAGTACATATACCTTTTGCTGTCCATGGATAATACCCATTATTCTAGATCATGCATCTCAGTTTGAGTTTGGCCTTAAGAGAGCCACTGAGACTGTCATTTATGGCCTAACCAGAATACTATTGTCAGTCTCGATCCAAATTGCTTTCAAATGCCACCACAGGGAGGATTACAGTGGCCATCACATGGGAAACCAAAACGCACGCCGAAAAGTAAATGCATCTAGTCTCAGCCTTCGAACATTTTAGAACGAGCAATCAGCATCAGTTGGCTTGCTCGTCTCTGGTGGAGAAGCAGCCCACAGTGGTAAGCCAGGAGATATTGCTGTCTATGCCACGGAACAAAGAACCTCTAACCCAAGCTAAAGAAGACCGAATAATTCGAGGGTAGCGAGGCATGTTCATACCACGCCCTCAACGTTGTTAGAAATCCACGAACAACAACAGACAGAGCATTGAATTTTTTGCTAAAATACACAAGTTAGTAAACAAAATTATCACAATACAGCACTAGGCAAAATATTTCCTAAAACACTGAAGTTTTGGGCGGTTCGTTGGAAAGCCAAACGAACTAGTACGTGGTTCGCGTTTTTGTTCAACGATCAACGTGGTTCGCGTATAATGGAAGCAAACTCTTTATTTGTTCAAGGGACCCTCGATCAGTGTGGTTCATGACACTATTCAACAAACTAGTGCAACAATATTGTCCAGTCGCTTTTCCCCGACATGTTTTAGGATAGAGTGCAGGGCAACGAATAATTGCCTAAGTGGATCGCGAGTCTTTGAAATGAACCATTGTTGTTTGCTGCAGTGTGGAGCGAACCACGCCTCACTTCTGCATGCTTCATGCCTCCCTTTCCTTCTACAAAAGAGAAACACCGCAGGAGCTCACAAAAACAACAAAGAAGGCAAGAGCTCTCATTCCTCTTCGTCCCCACCTTAAGGTACGTTGTGGTTATGTTGGTTGTTATAGGTTACATTAGGGTTAGAATGTAGGTCGAATGTAGGTCGAATGTTGGATTAGAATTTTGAATGAATCTTGATTGTTAGATTGTGTGGTAAATGACTTTATGTAATACAATTTCAAAGATGCAAAATAATTTTTGAAAATTCAAACTATTGATTTGGTGTAATGGTTGGATAATAAATTTCATAATACTGTTGATTATGAAGATTGTGAAGCAACTACTCTTAAGATTAAGAGCACATTAACTTAGCAGAATCTCTCCAACATTTTTTGAGGAACATTGTTGCATAGGGGGTCATTGAAGAGTATGCAATATGACATATCGCTTACCGTTTACAATGGATATGCACTTGTCTACAAAGAATTAATTATGTCTAATGACGATGGGATTTATAATGATTTTGAGGTTTATAGGGGAAAACAAACTCCAACTTGCCAAGGTGGGCGGGTATAATGGTGGGGCTTATGGAGTACACGATTATTATTCTTGTATAGTTTATGGTCATGGGGCAAAGGAGATTCGGATGGGGTACCACAGCCAGGATATGGTGTTCGTGTTGCACCTTGCCCAACTGTGTGAATATAATGGACAAGAATGACTGACATGGGTAAAAAATGGGCTAACACTAGAACATCCACGCAACACTCGGCAGTGAATAATGATCCCTACTTGGATAAGCCAAGTCTTCCTTAGTGAAGCAAATGACTTGGAGGATTTGAATTCACTAAGTAGTGAAGATGGTGAAGAAGTGGATGTCAATAAGACGGGATTTGAGCCCCCAACACCCCACTACACGATGATGCCACAATATCTCCTCTATGCGCCCAACGATGATCCAGACCTCCCTCCTAAGCCCATTTGGAATTCTAGCACATGTTTTGTGATTTGGCAAACATTTGGATTAAACCCTCACGTTGTAGACGCGTTGAAAGAGGAGGCAATACAAAAGAGATTTTAATATCATGTTGCCATTCAGACACAAAACAAATTCATGTTCGTTGTAAGAACTGTGGAGAGGGTTGCATGTGGCAAGTTCGAGCTGCATATGTTAAAAGAGATGAGGCTTGGGGACTCCGATGCAACCAAAAACTTTCACGGTCAAAGGCTAAGTGGAACCTCTAATCTATGGAGTATAGAGAAAGTATTTCAATATCAACTCGGACGGCTTATATACCCTTACTTCCATGAACTATTCACTATCTAGCAAACCGATTAGTGTTTCAATTACTAAATGAGATTGATTTCAGTTGAGGGAATATTCACCTGGATATGCTGCCCCCTAGTCTACGTTGTGATACCTTAATCTGATCCACTCTAACTTATGTCTCCGAGAGTTCTAATCCAGATTGAACTCCCTATTCGGGTTATCCAATCCCTCTCAATTACACTACCCGGAGAGGCGTACCTACAATCGGCTTAGGTAACTGAAGCAATCACAAATAACTCCCACAATGGGGTAAACCCGGTTATGAAACAAAGGATCTAATCACACTCGTTCATATATCCAAGTGTTGAATTGGAAATGATCTTAATCAACCTAGGGAAATATTCTCTCACCTATTTCAATTAGTCCCAAATTGAGGGAAGTGATCAAGAACCATCAATTTCAAGAATAATACTCAACTCAACATATAATTAAGAGTGTAGATAAAGGATAGGGCTCGCAAATAATCAATTACCACATACTAACTAGGGTTTCACAAGAGCCAAGTGAAATGGAGAACTACTCCATAGCTAGAAAGAGAAATGCAACCAAAGGGAGGAAGAGAATCATCATAGGAGTAAGATCTAGTTTCTTGGTTTCTCTTGATGATCTCGGCGGTGAAATCTAGCCTCCATTGGTCTTAGGATGCTCCAAGTCCCCTCCAAGCAACTTGGGTTCGTCACTTTCTCACTAGAATGGAAGGAAAGCTCTGACTTACCTCTAAAAACCAACTCTCCTGCAAAATGGCATGGAACCCGAGAAATAGGTTGCAATGCGCGATTCATGACTAGGGTCTCAACCATGAGAATTTAAACCTAATCGTGAACCCAACCAACGATGATGGAATATTGTCAAGTTTACGACCTCTTTAGCACATTTCACGACCAAGTCGTGAGACTGGCCCTGACATGATCGGATTTGCCTGGTATTTTGTTGCGTCTCACGAGTGGTGGCTCTCACGGCTAAGTCTTGAACAGGAGCACCTAGATATGACTGATATTTTTCCTTGTGCACTTTTGTCCCATTTTTTTCCTAACTTGTCCAACATCCATCTCTTTGCCATATTTACCTGCTATAAACTGAAATATACAGAAACAAGTGCAACCAATCATAAAATAGTCTAAGGAAACATCGCGAGTCAAGCCAAACAATCAAAATGACAAGGAAAGAATAGGTATAATTAAGCACGAATCAAACCTCCTGACACTTAACCGTTTGCTTGTCCCCAATGCAGTCAAAATCGCGCTTTAAAACTTATAAACTTACGGTTTTACGCTTTTAGGACACCAAAACGCTTTCGTTTCCAAATAAAATCTTAAGTGTATAAAATCGGGACAA